TTTCTTCCCCATGTCCCATTTGTCCAACTTGCCTCAGTGGTATAGAACTACTCTACACAGTAGCCAAATTGGACTTTAAATCTAATTCTGAGCTCAGACTAATAACTATGCTCTTTAGTTTGTGACTGATGAGGACACAGGATCAGAACAGAAGGCTGCATTTTCAGATCTGCATTCCAGTTAGGCATGCTCTAATCTTGAAGAACCCCTGGCACAAATGGCTGGTCCTCAGAGTGTAGGTTTTATCACCCCTCAAGTAAATGTCCATTTACTAACCATACTGTACACATGCTGCTGTCAGCTTCCTGGCCTCCAGTAAACAACCACAAAGGCGAGTTTTCCGTTCCCTCATAGACTCTCCGCTCCCTGGATATTTGTCAAATGAATGAATGAAGGCCGTGGGTACCTATTGTTGTCTGTTTAACTTCCCTACTTTTTACTCTGTCCGAAGAATAATTGTACTTTAAGTGGACTCTTTTTTTTAATTGAAATAGGCCTTGGTTTCAAGGGCTTCAAGCTTATTTTCAGCAAAAGGGATATAAAGAAGGGAAGTGTAAAGACAAAGAATCCTACTCAGTATTTGATTGACATTCTCTGCTGAAATGCTAATAAGCCAGCTGAGACACTGGGGTCCTTGATGTGGTCGCCAAATTGGTTTGAAAAGGAGTGGACTGACCCTTGTAAATGAGTTTAACTTGCTTTTTCACATGGATAAGAGTTGTCAGTTCCTGTCATCTCTGCTGCCCTGTGCAGCTCTTCATGCTCTGTATATGTCTTTTCTCCCTTGATTCCAAACACCCTCAAGAAAGACCTTGGAAACACTCAGCTGATGAATGCCAAGCCAGCTCCTCCTCCTCTCTCTACCTTTGCTATAGCCAAGGTCCTCCTCACTCCCCATGTGACTCTAATTTTCTTTACAAATAGGATGTCCTGCATACTTTGCTGTCTATACTGAGACTTTTCTCAAAGGTCTCAGAAAGACGCCCTAGCTGTGGAGGGCAGTGACATTCCGTCTCTCTATGAAGGCTGGGCATCTTCTGAAGCACGTTTCATTTCTATAGTTGCCTGATGGTGAGTGAGTGTTGTTGATGCCCACAGTGCTCTGTCCTTCTTGCTGTGTATACTGAAATACCATAGCTGACAGCTCCTTGTCTTTGAGGCTATGACCTGACCTCTACACAGGCCTGCAGCATTAGCATCTCCTGCCCAGAATCTAAGATCAAACTCACGACTTTATTCTCAGTATGTGTCACAGTGTTGATAAGATGTGTACTTGGGAGACACAATGTACATTAGGGATATTCACAAGCACCAAAGGCTTATTTTATCAGTCTGCATTTTCTGTCCCCTTCTCACCTTTAAATAAAAATAAAAGGAAGACATACATACAATATTGTTTGATTATTAATACCATCCCTTTCTATAACACATTCTACAAATTCTGCATGTAAATAGATGGTACAATTTTAGACAAAAATAGAATAGATGTTTTCAAGCACTAGGGCCAGTAATTACAGTCATTTTCTATTCCTCGATTCTCTGATTGCCAATATCTCCTGATAGCTTCAAATGTCATTTTACAGCTTTTGATACGGCTTCACTGATGGCTTTCAACCTTCTGTTAAGTATTGACAATTTACCTCTGAATGGATAGCAGTGTAATAGTATTCAAATGGGAGAAAACAAGACTCATTTTAAACTCTCTTTATAGACAGAGATGAATAATCCAGGCGAGCAGTTATGATGAAAGATGCACAGGAGAGATGATTGTAGCCACTGAGAGACAAAGTACAAACTGTGCCGTTCCCTTTGCAGGGCTCCTGCATAAAGGTGTAAAGGATTATACAAAGCTGATATTTATCCTCCTGCAAACATCATGGAAAGTGACTGAGAAGACATCACTGTTTAGAATAATAATACTGGAGTAGGAAAGTAACACTTGATGGTATTTTCCTGGTAAAAAGACTATGCATCCCAGCTTCCCTTATGGCTAGGCAAGGCAGCTCCAAAAGTCGTTTGTGATCCACACACGTGAGTGACAAAAATCTCTCATTGCTATGATTAAACAAGGTCCTGCCCAAGGTCAGAAGCAACCTCTCTCTCTCTCTCTCTCTCTCTCTCTCTCTCTCTCTCTCTCTCTCTCTCTCTCTCTC